TAGATAGATAGATAGATAGATAGATAGATAGATAGATAGATAGATAGATATAGAGTGGTTTGGTTAATTACCTTTCATACTTGTCCTGTTACTTTTGCTCGAGTATATGCGTATGTGTATGTGTGTGTGTTAGTGTCTATATGCAATACGGTTCCTAAATTAGAGTTGTCTTCCTACCAACAAGTTGCGAAAACAAGGTCAAACAACTTCTATACAACGAAAAGAGACTGCGACCACACAAAAGGCCACACTATCTTGTTCTTCATACCTTCGATGGAAGAATTACTTATGTTTGATTAAAAGATTGAAAGATTGAAAGAGAGGGAAGGTGTTGATCCGCAGTCCAAAAGAAGACGACTCAAGTTGTTAGTTGAGTGATTCTTCAGTCCAAATTCACACTCGTTCAACAGAGATGTCAAGCGTATCAACCGAAATTGTCGTGCGAGATGACGCAATTCCAGACATTCCTTTCCTTGGATCATTAAACCTTAATGAGTTCAAACTGACGGCTTCGGATTGATGGTTTTGCAACATGATTTTTATGCGTACAGACTTACATTTCATCAACTTAACCAGGGTTGCCTACAGACTAACGCAGTCTCAGCCGTGCTTTATTCCTTAGGTTTTTAAGTCTTGATGACGTTAGGATTTTTCTATTTATTCTGACTTTTGGTCTGATTTTGGTACAAATGTTAGCACACATACACATTCGAGTTTACATATATTAACCAAACCTTTCTATATCCATTTTTTTATAAATTTTGCTCGTAATGAGTATATATATCATGTAGAAAAAAGCCGATTAGTTTTCTTGGCTTCGTGTTAACTTGAGGCTTTTACAAGAATGAATTCCGGCTCCAACGATGTTCGTCATGTGGCATGATGTGCGTATCTAAGCTCCTCCTCGCCTAAAACGTTACAGAATTTTTCATGGACTTCCTCAATTTGAAGGACAAACGGCTGCAGTACAACGCGATTCAGCCGATGTCTTCTTGTGAGATTGGCCTAAGGATCTCTTCATCATGTACTTTCATACGAAACGAAAGTCTTCACATCAATCTTGTCAGGCGATTTTTCTAAACCCGTATTCAATTAGTTTACTCAATCCGTTTGACCCATTGTTAAATTTAGACTTTTAAAATAATTGCTTCCAGTTTTGACCATGTCAAGCATATGATGGACGAAAGTTCAGCTCGTTTTCGACCGAAACGAAGGAGAATTTCCAGTTGACTACGATAAACTGAAGGCCATATTAAAGTCAAATTGCTATCTGCCGTCATCTTCTTGTGAGATTCACTTTCGAATCTCATCTTCACGCACTTTCATGCACCCTAGCCGTACCTCACAGCATTTTATGGAGGATTTTGCACAGATGAGCAACCAAGCGTTTTTCAATAGACGTAACATACTACTACCAACTCGTACAGCAAGTAACAGTTTATACATCCAAGTTGCTAGAAGCAATGCCAGCCTGGCATCGAGTTGCGTTGAGCTATCGAGTTCAACTGGCGAGTGTCCAAAGAAAACTTTATTTCTTGTCTTATGACGTACAGTAACTCGTGCTGCATTGAAAGCAACTTTAGTACTTTACCCTCGACGAACTCTAAACCCCGCCACCGGCAAATAGAGCATCCAGAAAATAGGTCTAAAGCGCTGCCGTTTGTCTATTCATTGTCTCACATCACTTTACTCAAAATTCACCTCTTCACCTCAACACAAAAATGACGTATTGTGTGCAACTAGTCGACAAAAGCGTACATGAATTCCCATCAAGGATGTTGATGAGACCCTCCTCAGGCGTTTCAGCCGTCGCCAGAGCGGTGAAGATTCGCTGGCGGTCCTTTCGCACCAGACCCTTCTCGATTTCCAGCGTAGTGTAGCAGGACTTTGACTTGGCCAGCAAGGAGCGCTTATTTTGCAGACGCTCGCCGGACACCAGAGCCGTGACGGTGTCGTTTGCCTCGGCCTCGGCAGGCCTCGAGTCCGGCGCCGTCTTCATAGTGATCTCACGATGACGTATCTGCTCCCAGCGCAGCTGTTCACGACTGGCGTCGTCTGCCGCCTCGAGGGTGCGTGCCACTTTGATGAGCTCCCCGATGGCCCGACCTCTCGCCTGCCAGTACGTCTCATCGGCGTCCTCGTCCGAGTTGACCGTCGCTTCTGCGTCGTCAGGCCCGGCCGTCGAGCCGACCTCGGCACGACGTGGCTCCTCCCAGCCGGTCACATGTCGTACATGAGGCACTCCGGTCTCGGAGGCGATCCAGGCCGGCGTGAGTAGAAAAGCGGACGTCTGAGAGGCTGAAGCATCGACAGCCCCAGGTCTCGACCTGGACCAGGATCCGGATCTATGTCCTGATCCGGATCCAGTCTGGGGAGGGGCGACTGACGAGGCCAGAGCGAAAGGAGAGGAGGGGTGCAAGCTGCCGGAGACGTGAGGATGAGATAGCGAAAGGCCCGGAGAAA